ACTCCTAAGGTCAAGGGCAATAAATAGATCCCTAAAGCTTTCAGGAGGAAATAAATGAAAAAGAACCTTTGGTGTTCTGGCCTTCTGGTGAACATGTGTTATATTTACTAGCAGACTGACCTTGGACAAGACACTCAGCCTCTCTAAGCCTAGACTTCCTCATCTGTAAATTCTCCTTCAGAAATTGCACTGTAAACACTAAACACCAAGCTCAACATGTAGAAAGCACTAAATCAATGTCAACCATTATTGCTATGATAAATCTCTCCCACTAATGGATATCAAGCTGAAGATGCAAATAAGTGGCATCGAGGGTAAAATGCAGCCACTGCAGGACAGCAGGGCTTGGAATAAAGAACAATAATGAGGACAAGGAGAACTAGAGTTCTGGACTCAATTCCTGGGGGCAAGGCATATGACCTGGGGTAAGTCATTAACCTTCTGAAAAAGGTTAAAAAAAAAAAATTAACCAAAGAGTTCTCATTTGCAAAGTCAGAACCCAAAGAATGATTCCGTAATTCTGGAACTCACAATTCACCATCCTCTCTGATATCAAGTACTTAACTGCAAAAATATACTGGCAGCTGCCTCAACTTTCTACACTGATAAGATTCAAGCTCTTTAAGAAAGAAACAGCCAGGCACGGTGGCTCACGTCTGTAATCGCAGCAGTTTGGGAGGCTGAGGCAGGAAGATTGCAAGTTCAAAGTCAGCCTCAATTTAAGGAGACCCTAAAGCAACTTAGTGAGACCTTGTCTCTAAATAAAATATTAAAAGGGGGATGGGGATGTAGCTCAGTGGCTAAGCACCCCTGGGTTCAATCCTGGGTACCAAAAAAAGAAAGAAACAAAGAAACAAAGTCGATTTGCATTACTAGTGGGAGGGGTAAGGTAAGAGTGGAGGAAAAGAGGGTACAGCACCCACATCAGTCCTCCTGCCCAGTCCCACCTATTGACTCTGAAACACTAGTTTCCCCACCTCTCTTAAATGACATGCCCAGTAGCCATTTTCATAGCACTTTGCAGGCCTTCTGCAAATGAGAACGACTAAGAAAGCTAAAAATATTAGCCACAGGTTTGCTCCAATATCATATGTGCACCTGATTCAATATTAGAAACAAGGGGCAGTGGCATCTGCCGGCTGGACTGCAAAATGCCACGAAATCAGGGGCAGTTTTGTGGGGCCTAAAATCTATGGTGTGCAAGGAATTTGACATCTCCACCAGTCAGCTTAAAACTCAAAAATAACAAATGGCTTAGATATTTCCATTTTCTTTCTGTAAAAGCATCCTTATTTTTTCTTGGGCCAGGTTTCTTCTAGAAACAAATGAAAAACTATTCACTCATTTTTCCTAGGCCAATTAAAACAGTGTAGACAATGTCTTGTTCACGAGCTCCCTTTTCTGGGCAGCACCCCTAATACGCTCAAGGGCCAGTTTATTTCTCCATGTGTAAATGGCTCCGCTGACCACTCAGCAGTGCCCTTTAACTTCTGAAGTTGTCCCCTTCCCCAGTTTCTGTCACTTTCGCCCTAGCTCTTCACCCAGTCACTTGAAGTAAGAGGAGGTCTGGAGAAGGCCCTCTCTCCTCGGTACAGGGGCCTGACCTCAGGAAACCAGACCCAGTAGGGTGCTCAGACTCCACATGTTGTTTTGGGGATCCGCTGAGGAACGAGGGCGGGGGTCTGCACCTCTACTTTCCCGAACCCCACGCTCTAGCGGGAGAGGTTGGTGCCTGTAACTCCGGGGCAAGATTGGGAGAGTAAGAGGACCCTCAGGTCATCAGCTCCTCCTCAGGAACTCGGAGGTCAAAGCTAAGTCCTTTCTCCACGCCCCTGGTCCACTAGGACCCGGGGATAAGGGCCAAGGGCTGTCATCGCTTCCCCCTCCCTTGCACAGAACAGCCGTCCCCAGATCTCCGGAGCGCAACGCCCTCTGACCAAACCAACTCTGGGCCTGCGGGACCGCGTGCCAGCCTAAACACGCAATCCGCGCTGGGCGGGTGGGGACAGGGCTGCTGTCACCCTCCTGGTCCCCAGCCGGGGAGCGGGCGCAGGCGTTTATCCGGAGACAAACGCAAACGCAGAGCTGGCCGCCAGATCCCGGGTCCCCAAAGAGGAACTTGCAGCTACCCCGGATGTCACGCACTTACAGTTCGCGGCGGCGGAGTCCCCAGCCCCTGGCTGGACACAAACCGGGACTCGCGCGACCCAGCCCGGGAAACTACACGTCCCGAAACGCACCGCTCCGCGCAGGCGCAGTGGGCCCGAGATGACCTGGCGCCGCGCGCTCCGTGCGCAGGCGCAGCGGGTCTCCGTCGGGTTGCGGCAGTTTGGATACTGGAAGGGTGACCTCATTGGTAGCAAGGGCCTGCGGTTTTTCTAGGCCAAGGTTGGGGCCTAGGGAAAAAGATGGCTCGGAGGATCCTGACTTGCTAACACTCCTTTCTCTGCCATTGAGTAGCGCCTTCTGTTTACCTTTGCCAACTCTTAACCCTAGACTCCTGCCTCAATTGCAAGTCTGTTACAGAAAACGGGTATTTTGTGTGTAGCGGAATCTGTAACTGTAAGGGGCAGGTCTTGTCGTTGGTGCTGTGGTTTGAATATGGTTTGTCCCCACGACAGCTTGCCTTGGGGCTGTCCCAGTGCGTTGGGAGTGGTGAGATGTTTTAAGAGGCCCTTGGGTCATGAGGAATCCGCCCTCATGAGGGGATTGATGCCATCTGCGGCAGTGAGTTTGTTCTAGCTCAGATGGGACCGAGTTAGCTACCCAGGGCGCAGGTAAGGAGGTCGCCTCTGGTGTTGGGCAGCTCCTATGGGGCTATTTCACTTTCTGCCGAGTTGGGAGTTGAAGCCGCATGCAGCCCTCCCGGAAGCTGCCCAGATGCGGGTGCCAGGCTTTGGGACTTCTATTATGGTTTGGATCCGACTTTCCCCCCAGAGGCTCATGTGTTGAAGGCATGATCCCCCAATGCAGCAGGGTCCTGAGGTGGGGCTTTGGGGAAGTGACTGGATCATGAAGGCTCTGACCTCATCGATGGTTTTATCCATTGATAATTGAATAGACCAATAAGAGGTGGTGAGGGGAGTGGGTCCTTGGGGTCATGGTCTTGGGGACTTTTTCTTATCCCTGGCCCCTTTCCCCCCCCCCCTTCTGCCTGCCAGTAGTTGACATCTTTACTGCACCACGCCCTTATGCCATGATCAGGCCCACAGCAATGGAGCCTGCTCCCCACGGACTGAACCCTCTGAAACCGTGAGCCATCATAAATCTCTCCTCCTCTAAGTTGTGTGTGTCAGGTATTTTGAAAATGCACAGCGTCCCAGCTTCCAGAACCATAAGCCAAAATAATGCCCAGTCTCAGATATTCTGTGATAGCAACAGAAAACAGATTAAGGCAGTTTATGCAAGGAGTTATATAACCACACTTTGAATAAGAGCTCTTTTTTTTTTTTTTTAACTTCATACCTTAAGAGTTGAGTTCCTACTGGATCCTTGTGCCCTGGCTGAGGAGGGGGAAGGAGATGAGGCCTGAAGCCCCACACAGTTCTCTCTTGCCCTTTACTTCCTACTCAGCTGCACTGAGAAGGGAGACATGAACCCAAGTTAGGACTACCCTCCTGCCCTGCTTGGGCTTTGTCGGATTGTTGTGGATTCATCTCCTATGAACTGTCTGACTCCCTCTCTCCTGGGTGCTCCTGCAGCTCAGGGAGTCTCGTTCATCTCTTAACTCCTGTTTAGAGGAGCTGAGGCAGTAACCCAAGTGGAAACATTGCCCCGTGGAATTGGTGAATGGCAGCATCTCATCTCAGAGCACCGCAGATTCCTCATCTGCAAATGGAGCAGCCTGGCAAGAACAAAACCATCTCCAAGGTACCTTCCAGGTTTGACTTCCTAAAACATCACAGGTGCAAAATATTTATTTTCTTTTAAATTGAGAGATAAAATTGTACGTATGTGTCATGTATAACAATGTTTAAAAGTATATGCACATTGTGGAATGACTAAATCGAGCCAATTACCATATGCATTATCTCACATGCTTATCATTTCTGTAGTGAGAACAGACACTTAAGGTTTAAGGTTTATTAACTGCTGTCCCCAGGCTATGCAGTAGATTCTTGAACATATTCCACCTATTTACCTGAAATTGTGTATCCTTTGACCAGCAGTCAGAGCAGTCACCATCCGGCTGTGCATGTTGAACCTGACATTGGCAACTTGCCCTCTTCCTGTACCTTTAGTCTCTTCAAACATAAGTTGAAAATAAGTGATTATAAGTAAAAGAAAATAAAAATCAAGTAAGCATAAGGTTGTTTATGAAGACATGTCAACTTTTTATTATTTTTTCCTTAAGTAATGAGAACTTTTAAAAGTTTGTTTTCTGCAAAACATTAACTATTAGTTTAAAAATGTATCTCTGTTGAGCTATAAGTTTCCTAAGTGTTTGACTTCTCTGGTATGGTTTGTTTGCCCTTTGCAATGTTTGTTCTGTCTTCAGACTTCCAACAAGTCAAATACTAGGATAACCATAAATGTAAAGTAACCTCCTGGTTCTGTTTATTCATCCCTTCAGACTCAGCACTCATAAATTAATAAGTGAGTGTTCCTATGTCAGTCCAGTCAGCAAGTGATCAATTTTGAACCTTGGCTTCTGAATAATACATCTGGGGTATTTATCAATTGAATTTTTCACATCCAGCCTAATATTTCATGAGAAAGAAGGTTTAATGATTTCTAACTCTCTTTTCTATTCCCACTGCCCCTGTCCAGGTCCTTGGCTTGAAATTTGGCTTTATTCTTACTATTGACATTGATTTAAATGACATTTATATTGCATAGAAAATGCTCAAAATGTCACTCCAATAGGCAAGCATAAGTCACTGAGATTGAAATGTCTTCCATCTCAGTTGGCCAGCACATCACCTCCATGAAAGGTCTCAACAGGGAGAGGAACTCGCTCTCTTTATACAATGACAATCTGGATCTGCTTGGGAGCGCAGGCACCTCCTCACACCTGGATGTCAGAGGTTGGCTTTGTCTCTTTCTGCCTTATCAAGGAGACATTTTGAACCCCTCTGCACCCACGTTCTCATGGATGGTGGCCTTTGATTCCTCTGGATGCAGAATTTGACTCTTGTACTTTTCCTGCCAGTCCTCCACAATGTACTGGTGGTAGGGGTCCTGGGAGTGCTCTCGCCTCTTGGATTTCACAGTGCTCACCAGGATGGCCACAACGATGAAGGAGAACATTCCTATCATCACCATGAGGTACAGGATGACATAGTAGAAGTTCTCAGCATCCACCTTGGCCTGGAGTGCCACCTGCTCCTCTGTGGTGTTCCTGCGCCAGTTGTCCATGTATGTGATAAAAATCCTTCGGAAGACATCTTCCAGCGTCTGGGTCAAATTGAGTAACGAAGGCATGCTTCCCTTCTGCTGTGATTTAAATAATAAAATAGATGAACGAGGTTGAGGAAATAGATCCTTTCAGCATTTTCGAGAGGAGGGAGGGATACAGAGGGAGAGTGATATTTTCTCCTCCTCTTTTTTCTTTTTTTTTGTTTTGTTTTGTTTTGTTACAGGCAGCCTTTTAATAAACCAGAGAGAAATCAAAGGCAGTATAATCACTTCATGTCAACTACAATGGCACGGAATGAACAGGTTTCAGCTTTTATACAGCATTTTGCCACATTAACAAGCCCAGGGTGGTGGTGGTGGTGGTTTTTTTTTGTTGTTTTGTTTTTTAATCTTTAAAGTTCTCTGCCTATTTGTATGTCATGTGTACACACATAAAAGCCGCAGCTGTTTTTTTTTTGTTTAAGAGTGATCTAATATACAGAATTTTAGCCTTTAAGGGTATATACCTCTTCATTTAAAATCTGGAAAATCTGCTGAAACACATTTTGTCACAGGTAACATTAAAACTACATACAGACCGGCCTGTGTAACATCACAGCCAAACATGACATTTTTTTCAGTGACTTTAGCTTTCTCTCTCTGTGTGATGCTGTACTTTTTGTTCATCATGTTTTGCTGTGATGTTCCTCCTTAACCTGCCTAGCGTCTGCAGGCACATCTTGTTAGTCTTTGAACTGATCATATACATTGTATTCATTGTTTGCATGCATAACTACTTTACAGAAAATCTTCATGGCGACTAAATGACACATATATACATTTTGATATACACATTTGTACATAAATGTATACATATGAAAATGAGGGAAAGATGAAGTTAATAGGTCAAAATGTTAATACTGAGTGGTACACTTACCTGTGTACCACTGTGTGTGTATGTGTGTGTGTGTATGTGTGTCTGTGTGTATGTATGTGTGTGTGTGTATATATATATAATATATATATCTTTATGCTTTTCTCATGTTCCAGATTTTCACTAGTGCTCTTGCATTACTTACAAAGATTAGTAACCTCACAACAGCCAGTAAATTGCTGCATTCAAAATAAGCATTCAACAAAAATCACTTGACTGAAGCAACGCTCACTTATGAGTTATGGGGATGAAGGCAATGAAGACACAGTATTCAGGCAAAAGAGGCATGGACAGGCTTTCCAATTTGTTCCATCTAGTAGGTGTAGGCAGTGCCTTGTCCCAAAGAAATGAGTATGTACATCTGTACTTTCAAGAACATCGTGAGTAGGTCATGCCAAGAAATACCCTGAGCAGTCCCTCATCTTAGGTCTGTCCTGATCATCCCCACTGCCACCATCCAGCCACCAACATCTCTCCCTGGGAGATACAGGAGATACAGTACAATACAGCTCTCCCCGAAATCATCACCTTGGGGGTTTTGCCCTCTCCGTTCTGTACAGCAATGTGCTCTTTCCAAGAGGGAAACAGAATCATGCTATCCCCTCACTTTTAAAATGGTGCAATAGCTTCCTGTTGTTTAAAAAATAAAATCCAATTTCTTAACAGGGCTTACCCCACTTGATCTGAGCTAGCTCCTGACCCACCTCTGCAATGACCCCCTGTTCTTAAAGATTTGATCCCACCCGATTTTGTTCCTCCAAGTCAGTGAACTCTTCTGTCTCAGGATCTTTGCACATTCTATCACCTCTACTCTTCCACCTGCTGCCTCTTTGTTCGTTAGGTGTCAGCTCAATTGCTACCTCTCTTGAATATATGTCATTCCTTCAGGAAAAGAGATGTTTCAGGTCTTATCATCTGGGAAAGAAGCAAAGAAAAGCTTCTAAGTATTTCTTCCACGGAGCAGGTCTTCCCAGATTTCCTCATTGGAAATCAGTGTAATGAATATATCTTTCTCCATCTGACATTTTAAGTTCTATTTTCAAAAAGCTCTAAGATCCATTTCACAGATCCCCCACCACCAGACAGTTAAGTAACACAGCTCTCTGTGTCTTTCACCCTGGAGGAGACAGGTGAGTTCACACCAGCGTCCTCTCTCAAGGGCCAACTCCCCACCCTCTGCCCACACCAAGGTGAACCCTGGAAATGTGGTGCGGCAGGACGACTTCACCCAAAAAGAATGTTGTGATTTCCCCACCTTTTCTATCCCCTCTGCCTTGTTCTCGAGAGAATTCAGTTTCCATTTGAGAAGTCAAATTGGAAAAACAGTGGAACACAGAAACAACTGAAAAAAGATACAAAAGAGCCACGTTGCTAAGCTAAAGATCCTCAGGTGTGCTGAGAGAAGTCTGCACGTGAGATGAGAACCCTGAGTGCCAAGTTGCTCTGGAGTCATGGATTCAGCCTTTGCCAGCCCTTGAGAGTGAGAGGCAGGTACCCCAGTTATTTGTTCAGCTCTCCTCACATGGACAGAGGTTCACTGCTAAGCAAAGCAGGAGTGCTTCTTGTTCAGACCTGATCAGAGGGCTGTAAAGGGCCTGTGGGATTAAGTATCTAAGTGCTGACCTTCAGCCAGGTTGAGAAACTGGGGTCCACAGCGAGTCTGAATACCGATGCACAAGATGTGCATGACCACAGGAAAAATCCAAATTGTGGTGTATGAAAGTGGTTTCATTGATGGGCATTATGCTAAAACATATTCAAGTGGTGAGTTGATTTGAAGTTCTGACTCCCAGAATAACTGTTGAACTCACAGGCATCAACCATTCTTATCCTACCGTAAACACTGTAATAGGCGTTTACGTTGTTAATACCAACTCAGATATTAATGTGTTCTCTTGAATCATATGAAATTGCCACTTATCTAGGTTTAAATGGTCAAATATCGGCAGTTTTATGTAGTTCAACCTAATGGAAATTACATTTCCAATTAACAGTTCTTACGCATCACACAGAACAAGATGGGCCCCTAGAGGTTATTTAGACTGGCTTAGTCTTTGGGAGGTGGCATGATTATAGCCTAGAGAGCTGAAATCACTTGCCTGAGATCACAGGGCTCTCAAGTTGACCACAGTGACCAGACTAGAACCCGAGTGACCCACATCAGTGCCCGCGCTCTCTCTGTCCTCACAGAGGTCACACATTCCAATAGCTGCCTGACTCCAAGGCCTGTGGCTGGCCAGCTCACTTGGGTAAAAAATAAAAGACTAATAAGACCTTGGTTTGAGCTTCCATACATCAATTCACTGTGCCTTGTCTCCAGACGATAGGATGATCCATAATTCCAGTTCTCCCTGTCCTAAATATGTAATTCACGACAATGGCATCTGGACACTATCAGGAAAGTAACATTCATTTGACCCCCAAACCCAAAGTTCTCTTGTCTTGAAAGACGACGGATCCCTGGAATCACTTGGGCCTACAAAGTGCAGCAAAATCTTTTATTTTTATATCAAGAATAGGAAAAATGTAATCACATTTTTCAGCACTTGTCTGGAGTCGTGCTGCCTTCTCCCCAGTGCTCAGCGTCCACTGGGAGATGGCCACATTCTCCTCATCCTCCTAGGACCCCTGACTCCTGCACATGTCTGGCCCGGAACCATGGTCCACTGAGGCACATTGCTGAGAAGAGAGTCATACATTTACCACAAATCTCCCATTTCAAAAGAAAACATCTTCCAGAATTTTCATCCAAAGGCAATTGCTGGAGAAATGAGCAAAGAAAATAGGAGGCAAGGAAGGAAGGAAGGAAGGAAAGACAGAAGGAAAGGAGAGAGGGAGGGAGCTGGGCAGGTGGGCCAGGCCACATGCCAGAAAAATCATTTATTTTACAGTGTTTGAGAAACAGAAAGGAGATAAATTTGTTACTTAATTCCTCAAAATATAAAGACTTTTCAATTTTCCATAGAACTTACGTAGGCAGTGTGTGAGCAACACGAACGGCCTTGGCTGAGCCCTGCTGCTCCAAGCCTCCTTGGTGGCGTTAGGAGCTCTTCAGGACTGTGCCTACATCTCAGGCCGCTGAGCACCTTCAGCTTATGACCAGCTAAGCCCTTGCTAACTGCAGCCTGCAATCCTAGGCTTTTACGAACCCGAATGTTTAATCTAATCTTCTGTGGAAAGTTAAACACTGGCGGGCGACTGGAATTAACCTTGGTGCCTGATGGGGTGTGCCTGTGTGGAGCCTGGCTTTGGGCAGAGTGGCCCAAGTTCCCTCTTTGGGCCCCATGATGCCATCTTTGGCCAGGGAGGTACCTGGGCATAGTGAATCTCTTCTCAGCAATGTGCCTCAGTGGACCACGGTTCCGGGCCAGACATGTGCAGGAGTCAGGGGTCCTAGGAGGATGAGGTGAATGGGCCATCTCCCAGTGGACGCTGAGCACTGGCGAGAAGGCAGCATGACTCCAGACAAGTGCTGATGTTCTGAAGACCTCCCCATGTGCTGAATTTTATTTCAATACCCTCTCTGGGACCATTTCCAATCGACTTCATAGCAACATTGCTGTCTTGTAAAATAGAAACTGGTCACAAAGGTATTAACTATATAGAGAAACGAAAGCAAGTCCAACAAAGTGTTTAAAGACCCACGAAGAGCCAAACAAACTCTAATTACCCAAAGGTCCTTTTCTGTCGTGGTGGGAATTGGGACAGAGTGGGACATCATAAGAGCTGTTAGGAATGAATACATACCGGATGCCAGGTTCTTCCCTCAAATGTTTGTTATATTAATTTCATGAACCTTACTGCAGCCCAATGTGTAAAGCAGGATGAACTTGACAGCCGAGGAATCCAGGAACAGAGAAGGCAGGAGGTCAGAGGGTGGAGACGCATAGCCAGAATTAAGGCCCAGTCCCAGTGCTGGCTAGAGGTCACACTCACCCGAGATCCCTTGAGACTCAGGCGGATGACTCTAGTGACTCTGTGACTTGGGCTGTGGCCATGTAAAAGGAAGTGAACTTTATTTCACAAGTGGATTTTCTCATTAAATGGTCCTCTGCTTTTCTCATTAAAAGGTGGTCTGAAGCACCCTGGGTGGTGAAGAAAGGTAAAGTTAGTGTACATATCAGGTGTGTTCTAAAGAATCTGTACTTGCACCAGCTTC